TGGCATACCGAAATAATTTTAGGATATACATATAATACAGTTATTTGAAATATAAATTGGGTGGAGAAACGTGAATATGATAAGTGAAATGAATAATGTATTTTAACTAAATAAATGTTATAAATAAATAATTAATTCTTTTATGAATCCTCAAACACACACTTTTACAGTTATTTTTAATTGGCTCTTGTGTACAATATTGATTATATAACCAAATGTGTAAACAAACGGCAAGGACTTGCTGTGTATAGTTGTGTTTTTTTCTCATTTTCATATAAGCATATTACACTATACACCTTTGAGAGTGAAAACAAAAAATCTTTTACAGCATTTTAAATCGAAATGGTAAAAATCACAAAAAAAAAACAAAACAAAAAATAATCTGCATATAATGTGTACCTAACCTCATTGCATATTTGTCTAAAATCTTACACCCCAAAACTCACCCTGATAACTGATAACATCTAACACACATAATTGCAAAATAACTAAGATGTGTATTTTGAATTTTTTTTTTCTAAATGACTGCAATTTTGGGTCAATTGAAAGATGCTAAAGTGGAGCGCTTTATCTGCAAAAGTCCACGAAATTTTTCAATCGAACGAAAATTTTTGTAAGACAAATTTATATTTTTTGATTAGTTTTCAAAAGCAAAACAGCTTAAGTTAATTCCGCTAATATGTATATTTTCTAATATTTTATGTTTAAATAAATAATCCTACGGTTAACTTAAGTTCACAGGCGATTCTTAAATTTAAAAGAAAAAGTGGAAACGAATTTTGTCTATTGAGAATTGATTTTTAATTGAGGTAGTAAATATACTACGCATAGGCAATGAAACTGTTAACTTATTTAAAAATACACTGCGTGGCATAATTATAAGACTGCCACATATTAACAAGTTTTATATATATATATATTTTTATGTTATTTAATTTCAATTATTTTCTTCATTCTATACCTATAACAAACACCATACAAATCGACATTTAAATTTTGTACAAAAATTATAAAGAATTTTTGGAAAAGTTTTGTGTATGCACTTTTATAGCCCATGCAATTTTAGCACAATAAAGTGCGAGTTTAATTTTTTGTTGACGGTGTTATTCATTTTCTTCCATATAAAAAAAAATCTAACATACATACTTTCTATGGAAGAAACTGAGTGACACCGTTGTAGCCAAATGAAGATTTGGTGAAAATTCGCTGGATTTTTATAATTTTGGCACAAAGTTGGAAATGTGATTTGTATGGTATTTGTTATAGAATAAACTATATTTTTATAATAAAATAAATGAAAGTAAATAATATAAAAATTGTCTAAACTTGTAAATATGTGGCGGTCTTATAATTATGAAACGCAGTGTAAATTGTGGTTTAGGTAAAATAATTTTTACCGTTAAAATTTCGCGACATCATGACAATACGACCTGTTCCGATCGATATCTTGCCAAACCGCTAAATGTCAGCAAAAAAGCTCTTCAATACATAAATTATCGCATACTTGTATAAAAATACCATATATATATAGACATGTATAAAGTATAACTTCGTCCATTGTTGCATTTATCATCCATTTATATTATTATTACATTGCATACATACATACATATATTATTTTTCAAAACACACTTGTATTTCGAGGCTTATATATATACCTACTATTTCTGTTGCGTTAACCCTCATTTAACCTGCACGCTAAGCCTTTACCACCATCATTTGACATTTGACTGCAGTCGCAGTCGAAAGAAGACAAAGCACTGGAGCCGAGTGATAAGAGATGCATATATACCACCATCTGGTAGGGCTAAGGTTCAGTCCCTGGTCCAAACAACATTCAAAGAGTGTAAAAGAGTTTTGTAATGGCGGTCGCCATTCGCTAGGGGCCTATTTCATAAAAGTGACAGGTGCGACAATTGTCGACTTTTATGATGATACTGGAATATTGTCGACAATTGTCTGGCAAATGTCACTCCGAGGAAATTGACGCTACAACTGCGACAAAACTAAATACATAGCATCGTCGGAAAGTTTTCACAGGAGTATTTTGTAAATTTGTTTATGTATATGATAATTGCGCTCATTTGATTACTTTTCAATAATTTGAATCAAGGCGAATTCACCTTAATTTGAGTATTTCTAAAAACTAAAATAATGCAAATGCAATTATTACATACAAATATTCGTACGACTGGCGACAATTTTAAAACTGACGAACGACAATTTTGTCACTTCTTCAATGGCGTGTGTCATGAAGTCGAAACGATGACACAAAACACTAACAAAACTGCCGAGTTATCACTGACAATACGGAAAATGCTTGTCGTAACGAATTTGCCACTGTCTCTTTTGTGAAATAGACCCCTGGCTATGTTAAACCTCAGAGAGCACTTCTGCCATGGAAAAGCTTGCCATATAAACATTTGGCGCGCATAGGCACACAGATAGTTTGGAGAGCAAGGTCAATATAATAGCTCAACCAGCCACCGACGTAAACCCGTAGACCGTGTCAGCTGACACGACCTATCTAATGGAATTCTCGTGTTAACGAAAACTCACCTCCGCATGACGGTGACGTTGTCTTTCCTTCTCTCTACGGACGGCAGGTATGGAGTGGCGCTCCGTCGGTGGCTGGTGGAGTTTTAACTATATTTTTATCCACTTTGCCTGGATCCATTTAAAATTCTGAAAAGTGTTTCATGCATGATAAAAACATAACAAGGTAAAACCATTGAGCGGCAGTCTGACGTTTGCCAACAATATAATTTTAAAATCAAAACTCAAACTCACACACACATTCTCATTTTCAATCTCAAACAACAACAATTGTGAACAATTAATTTTTTTTTATTTTCAATTTTATATGATTTTAAAATGTTGGCAAACGTCAGAAAAAAATTATGGCCGACGAAATGAGAGAATGAATTTACCTTGTAATGTTTTTATCATGGTTTCATGACTCTCTCCCAGAGAGAAGCACAACAACAACCACAAAAAAGAAGAAAAATTTCAGAACTAGAACGATGAATCCGCCTTTATTCGGGTAGCAAAATGTTTATAGGGCAGACTTCAGTCATTGAAAGATTGTAGATAAAATTTTGAATAATGTTTTTTTTTCATCGCTTTGAGTCTTAACGAGTCTTATGTATAATGAAAAAGCTAAAATGCTTGCATAAAAATCAACTGTAGCCGAAAAAGCCATATCCAGATATTACGGTTGTTTTTGATCGAAAAAAAGTAAAATCATACACTAAAAACAAACGAAATCCAACAACATCGTGCGATATAAACCAAAAAAATTTAAAGCATACGAAAGAATCAATATATCGAGCCCTAAGCGCCAAAAAAACATAAGCAACATTTTTTTTTTTAATTTTTGCATTTCTGCATCAAAAAGAAAATTTTGGAAAAAATTTCGCTCCCATTATTTTGGCGGAAAGGTCTGACCGCGAAAAAGACCAGTAAACCTAGTTGACGGCGAAGACAGACGCTTAAAATTATTTTCGCGGTCAATCATGTTAGCGGGTGTAACAGAGTTGAAGTGACAGTCCTTGGCCTGGTATAAATCTATCACGGAATTGTAGGTATGAACCTAGGGTGTCCAAAAATTTTGGCTCAAAGACTATTGAGTGGGCCGAAAAAAACACGAATTCTCTTAATAATACACTTGTCCTTCAAACTTCTAGAGATGAAGCCTAGAAGGAGTGTCTTAAAGGAAAAAAGCTAATGTTAAACACTTTGCTGATAAAGAAGAAAAAGAAATTAACATTTGTCGCATATCGATTGACTAAGCTTGCTATTCTGTTGCACAGTCCATAGGTGATAAAGTTCTGGTTAGATTGCGTAACATCTAGTAGTCATCTCGATCGAAGATCAACTCGGATGCCGATGCACCTGAGCTGCTTAAGTATTTCTGGGGAATCGTATCAGCCCATTTACGACNTTAGATTTTTAAAAAGACTTTTCTGAAAATGAAAGAAGAAAAAGAAATTAACATTTGTCGCATATCGATTGACTAAGCTTGCTATTCTGTTGCACAGTCCATAGGCGATAAAGTTCTGGTTAGATTGCGTAACATCTAGTAGTCATTTCGATCGAAGATAAACTCTACTGCCGATGAACCTGAGCTGCTTAAGTATTTCTGGGGAATCGTATCAGCCCATTTACGACCTTACAAAAAAGGATAGATCCTGCTGTATACAGTCTTGGATGTTGTACCTGTGCTATATGGCACTCGTATTCACGCAGCTTGCATTTTGGGTGTGACACAGCAGGAAGTTACAAAACTTACGCTGCATCTTTTTATGTATGTATGTTTGTACTTCGAATGAACACGTTCGTCTCAATTATAGCGCTCTTACACGATAATATCGTGTTCATCCAATACATATTATGTATTTGCATATGTACATAAAAGCTACTTTTCTGATACGTTCTAATATATGGTACATACGAGTAGATACTAAAAAGTAGCACGTAAGAGCGCTGTTAGAATGCAGTGATCGCATTTTCGTGGATTTCACGAAAACCGGTGTACCATAGATTCACATATATAACCCCGAGTTTCTTAATCAGTGGATCATTGACAAACAATGACACACCTTCGAGCGTACTTGAATCACGAAACAACTTCTCTACCTTTCACAGGCGCTTCATCCATTCAATTCAATTTTATTTATTTCAATTTGAAACATTATTGTAATAATGTTTTGTATGATAAATTCACACCACACATTGGATGAATGGCTCGGCGAAACACTTTGCTAAAATGTGAGTGCCAAATATTTTTGTATTACACACATGCTGCGAGGTAAANGCCCGAGTTTCTTAATCAGTGGATCCTTGGCAAACACTGACACACCTTCCAGCGTACTTGAATCACGAAACAACATCTCTACCATTCACAGGCGCTTCCTCCATTCAATACAATTTTATTTAGTTATTTCAATTGGAAACATTATTGTAATAATGTTTTGATGATAAGTTGAAGATGCACACCACACATTAGATGAATGGCTCGGCGAAACACTTTGCAAAAATGTGAGTGCCAAATATTTTTGTATTACACACATGCTGCGAGGTAAAGCTGCATCCGTCACGAATTGGAAAGCAGAATTTTGAATCAAAGCGGTATATTGTATCAAAAAGAATGTTATTCTCGTACTGTTAAATTATTAAAAATTCAGTAGCTTTGCAAAAAGCTATATAATGAAAATATTAATGTAAATATGTATGTATGTATGTTTATCACCCATAGACTCACCAACCGCACTAAAAAATCGTTCATTGCCCTCACACAGCATTTTCCGCACGCATTGCAATCAAAAAATAATAACATTATTAATCATTACTTTAATTCATAATGTGCAGAAAAGCCAATTGTAAAATTTTCTCCAAAAATGCAATATACTATATTTTTTTTATAAACTGCCGCGTCTAAATGAAACTAATGCAAAATAAAAACGAAACAAAGCCAATTAAGAAGCAAAAACGTAGAATTGTTCCTGTTCTGTCGATTGTCATGTTCCTCTAGCTGTGTTAGTTTTATACCTTAAACAGTGCTTGCATTTGATGCCCAAGGAGATGACGAAGAAAGCTCTCTACCACACTTGGATCATGGTTTCACCTCGAAGTTACCCCCTGGCTACTTGACGCACGGTTTACCAACGGTGAAGGATGTGGCACCCGCCATAACACCACTAGAACAGAAAAAGGAACAGGAAGAGAAGAAAGAAAGTGAGTTAAATTAATTGCAGAAAATATACAAATTCTTTACATAGGCATATGAAATAATATCTTTATTATTTACTACTCCCGCCATCCGCTTTAGTTAAGGAACTTTCGGAGGAGCAAAAACAGATGATCATACTTTCCGAGGACTTCCAACGGTTTGTGTTGCGCGCAGGTCGTGTTGTTGAACGCGCACTCTCCGAGAATGTTGATATTTATACAGACTATATTGGCGCTGGCGACAATGAAGACACCAACGATGAGCGATCACATGCTCGCCTCTCGTTGAATCGTATTTTTTACGATGAACGTTGGTCGAAAAATCGTTGCATCACGTGCATGGATTGGTCTACACATTTCCCCGAACTGGTGGCCGCTTCATATCACAACAACGAGGAGAGTCCTAATGAACCGGATGGTGTTGTTATGGTTTGGAATACCAAATTTAAAAAACAAACACCCGAAGATATTTTCCATTGTCAAAGCGCTGTGATGTCTACGTGCTTTGCCAAATTCAATCCTAATCTAATATTGGGTGGTACATATTCGGGACAAATCGTGTTATGGGATAATCGCGTACAGAAGCGTACACCAATGCAGCGCACACCACTGAGCGCCGCTGCGCACACACATCCGGTCTATTGTTTGCAGGTTGTTGGCACACAGAATGCGCACAATGTTATTTCCATTTCTTCGGATGGCAAGTTGTGCTCGTGGAGCTTGGATATGTTGTCACATCCTCAAGATACATTAGAGTTGCAACAGCAACGTCCATCGAAATCGATTGCAGTTACTGGTATGGCTTTCCCGGCGAATGAGATCAACAATTTGGTGGTGGGCAGTGAGGATGGTTACGTGTACTCAGGTAGGTTGTTAATTAGACAAGTACCTCTTTAATATTTCACACCAAATGCTAGACTATTTCTATTAGAAGTTGTTTTTATGTCAGCAAATTTATTTTTTTCCCCTATTTACATAATTTTATTTCGTTCCAAATTATATTGCATTTTAATCTGTACATAATGTATGGCACATTCTTTACTTCCACCTTTCCAGCTTGTCGCCATGGTTCACGCACGGGCGTAAATGATGTCTTCGAAAAACACTTGGGTCCAGTAACAGGAATCTCCACACACTACAACCAATCGTCACCTGACTTTGGACATCTGTTCTTAACTTCCTCTATCGACTGGACAATTAAGTTATGGTCTCTAAAGGTAGGTAAAACATATATACATATGCCATTAATTTTTCGAATTCGACCAACGAACTACAATGCGTTTTTCTTCATTTCAGGACACTAAACCACTATATTCTTTTGAAGACAACTCCGATTACGTCATGGATGTTGCATGGTCGCCCATTCATCCAGCACTTTTTGCTGCTGTCGATGGTAGCGGTCGCCTTGATTTGTGGAATCTTAATCAGGATACCGAAGTACCCACAGCATCAGTTTTAGTTGAAGGTGCGCCAGCGCTTAATCGTGTATCGTGGACGCCGTCAGGTTTACACGTGACCATTGGTGACGATACGGGCAAATTGTATATTTACGATGTTGCAGAGCTTCTGGCGCAGCCATCACGCGATGAATGGTCGCGCTTTAATGCGACACTCAATGAGCTAAAAATGAATCAAAGTGATGACGTTTAAATCAAATGCTTATTCATATACGAACGGAGTTATGATAGTTTAATTTAAAAAGACTTAATTGGTATTTTACTACTATGGCAACTTAATGCATATAAAGAGACAGTAATAAGCACTTCGATGCGTTTGAGAACATTAGCAGCAATTTCAGAGGCGAAATCGTTAGAAATTCATTTAATGAACAAATATAATTTGTATTTTTTACCAAAATAAGTTAAAAGATTTTTTTATATAGTAATCTAAAACATCAAATGCTTATTTTACTTCTCGTTGTAAGATGCTCACACTTTTTTTTTGAAGCAAGGAGTGCTTGAACACCTTTACACTTAGGATTAATTGATCTGAATTTGCTAATGTCTCAATCAAACTGTGCTTTGGTGGTAACACCTTCTGTTAGTATTCTAAAATTTAATTAAGTCTTTGTACCATTCTTTTATATCTTTTGCACGATTTTTTTTTCTTATTTAAAGTATTTTTTTCGTATCGAACTTCATGCTAAAAGCGTACAAAATTACAGTAAACGAATTGGTTTGTATATGTGCAACTGGTATAAGGGAGCATAAAATAAAAAACGAAAAAACTGATATAAATACCTTAATGTATACATATATAAAGATTTATTGAAGAATAATACTATTAAATAAAAAATACATATATAAATTATAAAATTAAAAAACGCGAATTATTATTATCATTTAGGTCTGAAGCATGTTTCTTTTGCAACAGCTGATGCTGGAGTGACAGGCCTTGGCTCATTAGTGGTTTTTAATAAACAATTTAACTTCTTGCGATATACCTCTAATTGGGCTTTTTATGGTGTATTCAGCAATTTTTTTTTGCCGGAAAAAACCTTTTTTTTACAAGCTTTTATTTAACTCGCTCTGTATGTATTAGGTATGTTAATTTTTCAGCTTTTTTCCGATCCCGGGATTTTCGGGACGTCGTTATCACAATTTGTAATTTCAAAGATATGATTAATTCCAAAAATTATTTGAAAAATTCAATGGAATGTAAAATAAAAATATGAGTACCAAATGCAACAGAAAATTTCTTTAGAATTTAAAAAAGTTAAAATTTTTTGGATTCACAAAGACGAATAGGTAATTTTTTAAGCTCATAAAGTTAGAAGGACGAAATTCGAGGATGTTATCGATTTTATATAAGTCCTTAACATATAATTTTTTCAAAAACAAATATTGCGAAATTTCAAGGATAAAATTTTAAAAGGATATTTTCAAAACTTATCAGTGCTTTGGCACCAAAAACTTTAAACCGTTTAAATTCTATAGGAGCTCCTCTTTAATTTGATACCGATACGTCTTCTCTAAGCACATTTCTCTGATTTTTTTAAAATCATTTTTGAATTACTGACGTCAGAGTGAAAACTAAAATTTTACTATATTTGGCCCATGGTTTCGCAAATATATTGATATTTGTGTTTAAAATTTACTATCGCGCGCTATAATGAGCTATACATTTATAAAATAATATTAATTATTAAATAAAAAAATAAATATAGCCAATACTGGTCAAGAAAAGGCGTTCCTATTATTGCCATCAGTGCAAACTACAAAGCCCGAAAATGCCGGGATTAATTGCCAAGAATCCCGGGATTTTCGGGACCTTAAAAAGGCCGGGGTGCCGGGATTAACATTCCTAGTACGGATGTATGTAAGTATGTTTGTTAGGGGCAAATCTTGCAATCAATTTTTGACTCACTTCCCGATGACCTAGAGACTCGAAAATTCACAGTTGGCTCAGAACCCGATGACAATGCAACACGAAAGACCTAGTCCCATAGGTGGCGCGGAAGTCAAGATATTTGAAACCCCGTATTTACACTCCGATTTGGTTAAACTTATCAAAAAGCCGCCAAAATTTATCTATTTTTAGTTATAAAAAATAAATCACTCGCTTCAACTGTTATAAAAAGTTATTAGTTTATCTGTCCGGGTTAGACATGTGTTTGATTTCTTGTGTTTTTTTATGTTTCGGATATAACTTATATTTTATTTTTTGTTCTAAATGTAAGGGAATTTAATTCAAATGAGGGAAGAGAATCGAAAATCTGAAATTTTGATATAGAAAATGATAGGGAAATTTCATGATTTTCGATGGGTACGAAAGCAAGAATACGCCCCAATGTCAAACAAACAAAAAATTACATACTTCCTATTCCCTAAAGTTAATTTTACTTCATTGCATTTCCAATACTTAAGTACTTTTATAGTTAAATAGTATAAATAACTAAATACTTAGTATTTGGAGATGTCTAAATAATCAAGTAAAAAAACGTAGGTAGGTATTTAGGAGCTGCTATATACTAAAGTAGCAGACCGAAACTATTTTGATCTAAAGTGCTCAGGCATTTTAGATATACATAACACTTTCACTAAGGAACTCTTGTACTTCGTGGATGACTAAATACTTACTTACTCGTCTCGACTCACCGCATTACCACAACTCACCTCATCTCAGCTCAGCGAATTTTATTTCAGAAAATCCCGAAATAGCCCCGGGAATCTCGAAAATCTTGAACTAGTTCCGAAAATCCCGAAACAGTTAGAAAATACTGTCGAATATGTCGATAATGTCGAAATTTCGAAGCAGTGCGGAAAATTCTGAAGTAGTCCAATGACTCGAAATATTACCGAACATCTTCGAACTTCTTTATTTTAATACTAAGTAGCAAGTATTTCATCAACTCATAAGTAGTGCTTATTAAGTACTGAGTACTTTTGTATCCAGTATTTAGTGAAATCAAAGACTCTTAGTACTTTTGTACGTGGTGGTTTGGTTAGGTGAAACTAACTAAATATTTGTATACCTAGCTTTTGGGGCTGTGAAAATACATAAAACTTAACATTTAGTAAATTCCAGTTTGCCTAACAATGTTTCATAATCAGCCCTATTCTACATTTCGACTCGAATCGTAATTTTCTCCGTTTGGCAACTTTGGTATTCTACGTTCCGTTTCCTTTAGATCAATCTTCGAAATTTACGATTATACCTATTCTATATTTCGATCGTAGTTCCGTTTTTCTAAGTTGCAAATTTGTTGACGGAGAACGTTTCGATTGTTATTTTCGTGGGTTTAAATAATAAAATTTTATAAAAAATTTAAGTAAGATATACTGTGCATGATTGTAAAAGTCATCATAAATGAATTTTCTCGATTTCTGTGTTTTCGCGAGCTGTAATACGGCCAGTACGAAAAATTGGCTCAAATAATGGCAACCAAAAGGGATATTGCGCGACGTTTTCAAAGTGGAAGTCCAGGCGTTTTTGTTTACATTATCTATAAATAAGACTGTGAAATGCACTGAATACAATTTATTCTTTTTATATAAAATTAATAGTTGTATGAACATAGATACATACATACATAGGGCTGGTTTCTCCAACTCAACTTTACGTAGTTAAGCCAATTTTCTTGACTTTGTCATGAACAGGGAACGGATTTTATGGAAATTGCCTTTTTTTCTGCTAAAGAGATAGAGTATATTCGATTAAGAATGTCCACGATTTAGCTTTCCCTGATTCCATATATACACATTTGAAGTTGCCTTTTTTTGCCTTTTTTAAGATATTTGCCTTTTTTGCCTTTTCTACCTTTAAAAAAGTGATTATAGCATTCAAAGCCGTTTTCTCAGCTAACGTAGACTTGAAGACAATAAGGGGTGTGGATAAAATTGTAAAGGGCGAGGAAAACGCCCTTATTTCTGATAATATGAACGTTTCAAACGTTCCATATTTAAATTGGGCTCCACTTGTATCAACTTACGTCGAGCGCACATTTCGTACATTCAAGGCTTTCCTTCGCGGAACTCGAATGAAAATGTTGCCAGAAAACTTCAAAATGCATCTTATGCTTCAATGTTACTACAACTATACAGATTAAAGTTTTATGAGTTAGAAACTCGAAAGGATAAAATAGTCAAAGATTCAAAGTACAAATTCTTCATATAATGAAACTAGTTCATAGTTTTTCTCTTTTTACTTGTAATATAAGCATTTCTAAAATAAATATATTTTTTGATTGTTCTTCGTTTTTTCTGTCTATTTTTAGTGCCTTATTTTGCTTTTTTTGCAATGCCTTTTTTTGCCGTTTCCTGCCTTTTTCGCTACTTTATTTTGCCTTTTCCAGCCTATTTCGTTACTTTATTTTGCCTTTTTTATAGGTTTTTAGGTCCTAAAAATCCGTTCCCTGGTCATGAATAAGCTGTGTAAAACGTAGGCTAACTTTTGACTTAATTCCAAAAAGCGGCTAAACTAAGTTGAGTTGGAGAAACCAGCCCATAAAATGTGAAGTTACATAAAAAAGATGCTTTTATTATTGCACTCGTTTTTACTAACTTTTTAAAAAGAGGTGCGTATGTCGTCTCCAATTCGATTTGCTATGGAAAGATAAGCTTTGTTCTTCCTCTCCTCCTGACGGCTTTCAAAATGGGATTCATTTGCGTTCAAATCTTCCACTCTGTAGTAAATGCAAATTTTGTGGACTGCTCAAAATACGTTTATAATTTCACTGACTTTAAGCGATGAGTAATACAGTTCAAGATGAATTCCTTATGACTCTTCACTCATCTGAAAAAGATCAAACATGTCCCTAAATCTCCGCCTTTCAACTTCCGCATCAGCAATCTGGGACTCGTTCTTCTCTTCAAGCAATAACGCCGCGGCTATGAATTTCATTCTTATAATTATGTATCCACCTAGATTTTATTTTTAAATTACAGTGATGCTAGGTATATTTAGTTATTTTAAAATATTTACAAACTTTAACTTCATATGCTGCTATAGTTTGGAGGCAAATATTTCTTTGTTTTGTTTCGATTTCACACATTCCTAGGCAAACAGCTAATTTCGAAAGATGTTTTCTGTCTTCCTCTTCTTCTTTCGTTTCGATCGTAACGCAGAATACCTAAGTTCGATTCNTTTTAGAAGGCTCACCAAAAATTTTGTTAGATTGAGTTTTTTGTTGTATCAAGATTCGTTATATAGCCCTGCTATATCTTGGGAAAATTATCTGATCTAGGAAAGCGGTATACATATCCGTAATCTAGGGCCCAAAATTCAATTTACGTGTCTCGACATTTTTTGTGTTATTTTTGCATCCCTACAGTGTTACGACGGCACCTCTGAGCTACCATTCGCGTGCCCAATGGCTTCGCCGGCGGTAGCGGTAGGCGGCCCACTGGCCACTGACCTTGCCGGGATTGCCTCAGCCGTGCAGGCTTGGTCTGGAAGTGATGGTATTGGTGCACCATCTGGCTAATTTTTTATTTTATTTGCTTTTGAATGTGGTTCCCACGAGTAACCGGGAAATGGGAAAAGTAAACCGCGGTAATCCCGATCCCACGACAAGTCTAGTTGAAACTGGAGGACGACCGGCACCCCCCTGGCCATGCATTCTTTGGCATACGCTGTTCCACCTTGGAGTTGGGGTAATTTATGGGAAAAAGAGGCAGCTCAGAAGGCGAACCGAGCAATGGTGTGAGACCAATGTTAGACCCATCACCCCGACTGTCCTCTAATATCAGCCTCTCCTCCCAGAGACATGACCTTAGCTATAGCCTATTTCCAGTCGCCTCCGCGTGGAGAGTATAGCCGCACTTCTGGTAGTGCATGCGGATGGAAGACACCCCCAAAGGAGTGACGACCGTCCATACACCTGTTGGATGACGACCTATAGATGGATCTGTATTTCCGCTCAGAAATTTTTTTCATATCTTCAACGCTGCTAAGAAAATGCACTCGAGACGTAGTCACGGCATGATTTCGAAAGAAGAAAAAGCCTTTAGTGACGCCTGGCTATGGCTGAGTATGACAATTACCTTAGACTTATGTACGTATCTCCGCATGCAGGGTAAGGACGTAAACTTCCGTTTGAAAAATTATCGACACCTTCTCATTGACACCCAAATGCTAGCTCTAGGGTTTTCAAGCAATCTGTGTACACTAGTGTACTGTACTAAACTAGACACACCTAGTGACACACTTCAATATAAGCTATTTCCACAATAAACGTTTAGGTTAGAGAACGATTAGAAAACGACTCGAATTCTAATAAGTTTCTCTAAGGTAGCAGGTTAGAAGACGATTAGAGAAACTGTCCAGAATTATAGCATTCTCTACAAAAATGGGATCTAGTTCTCAATATCGAGAAAGAGGTCCAATGTTTTTCTAATCATTCTCTAATCGAATTCTAACATAGTTCTCTAACCTGATTTTCAATTCGAGAACTATATATGTATGTATATTAGAATTCTAATGTAAAATCAAAATATTTCCCTAACGTTAGAGACTGCGTTCGCTGGTTTACCTCAGAACTGGCAGTTAGTTAATTTTTACAACTGACTTTAAAAGGCTTAAATTTTTTGTTCTCAAAATACCTTTTTATGGATGTGGATGCATACATTTCATGGAAGCAGATACAAATGGTGTAAGTCCGGTAGACTTTAGTTAACCCTCTAAAATACATAAATTTGTTTTTCCTTTCGTTTTCCATCTATTTTATTGTTGTGTTGTTTGGTGATTGCACCGTTATGTAGGATGTAAGTATTTACTGGCTAAACTAATTGTCTTTTTCTAAATGTAATGTAACTAAATTAGCATGCATACCTGGCGCAAAATCCAAAATTATAATACCATGGGTGGTCTAAACAAATTCACTTGCATATAATTACATTTATATGTGTTAAAAATTAAATTAAATTAAACTTATCAATACAAAAAAAAAAATAAACAAAAACATAATTAACTACGCAGTTCTTCTTAACTAAAAAAAATTTTAAAATTTTAATCTCGACGAATGTAAAATTAGAATTGCCAAATAAGCAAGTGAATTAGTTCTCAACCACATACATATGTACACACATACATTTTGGAAAATTCATTATTTTAAAAAAACTTCCCAGTCCGCAAAATAAGAAATAAAGTAAGTCCCGCAAGAAGTTATTGTTTTTTATCTTTTTAAACGATAAGCCTTCCGTATTCGATTCTTTACTCCTGTTTTGTGTGGGATGGCTAGAGTTTTAAGACCTTCTGATTTACCTTTCCCTAGAAGGACTACTCGAAGTTCTGCTAATACAGTTTCCAAAAATAAAATTAAAAAGCCCTCCCTGAAAGCCTTTATTTAAAAGCGCACTTCATTTTGCCGGCTGGTTTGTTTTATTCATACATATTCATACACAGACACATACATATTTACATATTGTTGTTGTATTTGTTTTATTCATACATATTCATACACAGACACATACATATTTACATATTGTTGTTGTATTTAACTTTACTAAAATTGATGATTTTTTTTACTTTTATTTTTAAAACAAATATTTGCAGTCGGAGACGTCTGGCGACTACAAAAATGCCTTAACTGCACTGCTGGGCGGAGCTTAATCGGTGTTGAAATTTCCACAAAATTTTCGAAATATGTAATAAAAAAATGAAAATAGTCCATCGATTCTGATGCAATATACGTACATATGTAGATGCAACGCACGTGCCTAATATGCAATTGTTATGCAGATAAAGTATTTATTATTTAAAAAAAAAGTATAACTGTAAGCATGTCTTTTTGTTGCAAATAAATGTATTTTAACTGGCATTCAAATTTTGTTATCCCTTTTACCTTTTGTTATAAACTAGCCAATACGCAGTCTACTATAGCTGAGGTGCTTTATTGCTTTTATTAGTATAGTTATTGGTGTAATAAAATCTTTGAATAATATTTTTAAGTCAAACTACATAAGGTCCCAGAACCTAAACAGCCATTATAGGGTGGAAGCGAGCGTTTCCGGTTCTATCGTGATTCGTTCTACAAATGATGTATTACCAAATAATTCGGCAAACGTTAAATGGAATTTCTTCAAAGAAATGTGAAACTAATCACCTCACCTATCAGAAAAGGTTTTTATAAACTTCAACAATCTGTCCACAAGAACCGAAAATCAAATGACCCGGCTAAAGCCCACCACTTACAAATTTTTGTTAGATATTGTTAGAAACTGTCTACCCTCCTAAATATAATTAAAAAACATGTAAGAAAGTCTAAGTTCGGGCGGAGCCGAAAATTAAATATCCGGCGCAAATTTACCGTTATATGAAAAGCGGCCGTAATTTTAGTCCGATTTCAATAATTTTCAACGTTTTGCTTTTATGTGGCAAGCATAATAACAATACCGAGTTTGGTACTAATTGGTAGAACGGTTACCAAGATACATATATGTGATCATAAGTGGGCGGTGCCACGCCCATTTTCCAAAATTTTATCATAAATGCATTTCTTGATAAAGAGTTGTTGCAAGCATCAATTTGAATAAATTTGCTTTAATATTTACTGATTTATCGAAAATTTTGTATTTCTCTAAATTACCGTTATATGAGATGTGGGCGTGGTTATTGTCCGATTTTAAAAATTTTGAAGAAATTGGTGCAGCGGTTACCAAGATATACGCATGGCTTGGCTACGCCCATTTTCAAAAATTTGTAATATTCTTATTTTTCGTCTAAAATTTATTGCAAAATATCAGTTTGAGTGAATAATCTTCAGTGGTTACTAAAATATCGCAGTTTTCGTATTTCTGAAAATTACCGTTATATGGGAAGTAGGCGTGGTTACAGTCCGATTTCGCCCATTTTCAATACCAACCTACCTTGGATGAATGGAAACCTACATACCAAATTTCGTTGAGATATCTAAATTTTTGCTCGAGTTATCGTGTACGCGGATGGACGGACAGACAGACATGGCTTAATCGACTTCTCTATTCATTCTGAGCATTTTAGTATACATTTGTCTATATCTATCTCGATTCGTTTTGGCTGTTACAAACAACCGTTATGTGAACAAGGTTAATATACCCTTGTGCACAAGTGCGCTCGGGTATAAGAAACAAATCTCTTCCGTCTGATATTGTGATACCTACATATTTCATGGGCCTGATGAATTCAGTTAAATTTGATTTTTATGATTGCAACGCTCCTAAATGCAGTTCAGAAATAAAGCCTTTTATTTAACCACCAGTTGTTCATCAGGAGCGCAGACAAGTCCTTCTGCACTTGGTTCTTCCATTTTGTTCATGGGCGTCCTTTCTTTGGTTGCCCATCCATCGGTGCCGATTCGAAGCATATTTTTATCGGAGATTCGTCATCCATGCGTACAACATGTCCAAGCCAGTGCAATCGTGTATCAGACGGACGAGTTTTAAAAAGGTTTAATTTGAATTTAGAAAATAGTTGCCGTCTGTTGGGATAGTAAAATTTAAATTAATTACTTGCAAGCTATATAAAAAGTTAAAATGTGGTTATCAAACGAAAGACTGTCAAAAAATCTTTAATTTGAACATTTAGAACATTATTAAGGTGTTTTAAAGGGTTTAGGTACCAATCGAAATGGATTTAAAAATGCTTTTTCTTAACTACAAGCAGGATGGTTCCCACCTGTTTAAAAAGTCAAATTCATCATAAAATGGATACCATATGAAAAAAGCTCAATGAGGTTGTAGTTTGAAAATATTTTTAATAGGGTTGCCACCTGCTTGAAAAGTCGACTTTAATTAAATTATACACAAGTTAAAGTGTCAAACGCAAGAGTGTATAGACATCTTTGGTCCGTGCATGCAGAGTTTTCAGACGTGTTTGAGGAGGGTTGCCACCTGTTTTAAAAATAAATTCAAATAAAATTATTTGATTGCACGTAATGTTGCACGCAGAAATTGCACACAGAGCGTAGCGGTTGAGGATATCCTAGTCAAAAATACTGAGATGAGTAGGAAATGTAGGGCATCGAGCTTTATCTCTGCCACTCGCCAGGATGTGCAAACAAATCTTCAGGAACATTCAGTGGACATTCTCGAAGTTTTGTGTTATACAAAGCTCATTCGGAAGTTCAATTTCTAAGTGAAGGAAGGATATCAATATTTCTGAAGAAAGTAATTAACTTTAACTGCAAATACCTGTTAAAATCAAAGATTTTTAGATCATGGAAAATATTTTTTTTTTCGATAAAACTTAATCGTTGTTTTATATACTTTTCTATCATTTTTAACGTAGGAGACTGCGTTTTTACGAGCGTATGATATAATTATAATTTATGATATAAAAACATTTTCTCCTAAAATAACGGTTATAAGCAGGTCGAAGAAATAAAAATAAAAAATAATAATAAAATTATAAAATAACGATTATTCTTGATCGAAAAAATTGAAATTTTAAAATAACGGTTAAATTGCATCGGAAAAATAGAAATCCAATTTTAACGGTTAAAGTAGGGCTTTTATTATACCGTATTTTGGTTCCGTGCTTTAAAGTGCTTCACGGACCTGAGTATGTACTTTTGTACTGGTTTTCCCTAACAAGTTAACAATTTTCAAATGTGTTATTCGCTTTATTGCTCGTCTTCTTTGTCAAATTCGAGCTAAGCTACTTATGTATAATTAGCGTGAATTTACTTTTATTCTATACAGAGCCAAATTCTTAAACACCATAAGAGACAAGTAGACAAGTGGGAAGATTGCCCTATAATTTCAGAGAGTTAGATGTGTAATAATTGCATTTTTAACAACAATTCACAAGCACACACAAAAAAACATGCATAAGCATATGCTTATGTATATACATATATGTACTTACATTTGTATACAAGCATATGCGAGAGATTCCATTCAACTTGCGAGCAGTAAAGTGAAAGTGGCTGAATCTTAGTCGGTTTATGACTTTTGAGCAGTAAACAAGCGACGAGAAAATATAAGTGATATAATAGAATAATTAATTTTTCACCTAAGTACATACCTCAAATTATTGAGTATATGATAATTAAAGTATTATAAATATTCGAGCTTATTCTACATAATTAGTACAATGGATTACAAAGTGGGTAAACGAGTGACGATGCATATGGATTTTTTTTATATTTCATTTTCTTTTCACCTTCATTTTCATCGCCATTAGCCAACTCCCACTGTAGTGCCCGCCGCCCCATTCGACGCCTCGGCGGATGCACAAGCGCTTCGTGGCGCCATGAAAGGGTTTGGAACGGATGAGGACGCAATCATCAACATACTTACAGCTCGTTCGAATGCCCAAAGACAGCAGATTAAGGCACAATTCGAGACGGAATTCGGACGTGATTTAATCGGTGACTTGAAGAGTGAACTGGGTGGCAAATTTGAGGAGGTGATTGTAGCTTTAATGACGCCGCCAGTTGAGTATTTATGTAAGCAGCTGCACAAGGCAATGGCCGGCATGGGTACAGATGAGACGACACTTGTTGAAATACTTTGTACGAAAACAAATGAAGAAATGCATGAAATTGTTGCGGCTTATGAGGCAAAATATGATCGCCCCTTGGCAGAGCAAATGTGCAGTGAAACGTCTGGCTTCTTTCGGCGTTTGTTGACATTGATTGTGACTGGGGTGCGCGATCCAGTGGGTACTGTAGATGCGAATCAAGCGCGCGAAGATGCAGAGGCGCTTTATGCAGCTGGTGAAGCAAAACTTGGTACAGACGAAGGCGTGTTCAATCGCATTATGTCGCACAGCAGCTTCGCTCAATTGCGGCTGATCTTCGACGAATATAAGCAGCTCTCAGGTCAAACTATAGAACAAGCGATAAAGCATGAGATGAGTGGGGCATTACACGATGCAATGATTGCTATTAGTGAGTAGAAATAAGCTCTTTGTTTACATTAGTCATCTCTGAGTCAAATGTTTTATTTTCGTCAATTGTATTTTTTGCTTACTGAACGTTGTTGAATGCACATTTAAATATGTACATACGTATGTAGTTGAATGCGTACAGTCACCGGCTGCCTTCTTCGCCAACCGCCTTTATCAAGCGATGGATGGGCTCGGAACAAATGACACTACCCTAATTCGCATAATTGTCAGTCGTTCTGAAATTGATTTGTGTAACATTAAAGACGAGTTTGAGCGCATTTATAATCGTACCCTGTACAGTGCTGTTGTGGTAAGTACATTTGCCGCATAAACTTTTAAAATCATAAATATGTTTTTTAGAAATTAAAAAAAAAAAATATGGTCAAGGTTTACGCCTGTCGTTAATATCAAAAAAAGTTCGCAAATTTTCAACAGGTCTGAAATCGTGATTTTTTTTATTATTCTACTGATGCGTCCCCTTTTTAAGAGACGCGATTCAATTGTACCCGATATTGATCTAAAAAATCTTGTATCTTAAAGCCCTCAAATCAGGACTAAAAAATCTACTGCAATCATGGTTTAAAGACATTTCGCGAAGCTTATAGCGCAAATCAAATCAAATAATCAAAGAGATTTAACAAGTCAAAGGAAATGGTCTTTAATCGCTGATGGTTACAACTCTTTGATTACAAAAGTGTAATTTCCGGCTATGGTGTTAACATTGCTGGTTTATCCTTTAACAGTGCTGTTAAATGTATGTACATGCAGTGGTGGTCACATAATTGGGGACACTACTCCTTTACAAGTTTTTGCCCTTTATTTTTTCTTTATATTTTTAATTCCTTTTTTACAAAAACATAGTAGTTTATACTACAACGAAAAACATGTAGCTCAAGGTTTCAAATCTTGTACAAGATTTATAAAAATTCGCCAAATTTCATAAAATGGTCATCAAAATTTCAAACTTCTTAATCAGAAAAAATGCGGGTATGCGGTATTGAGCAAATTTCAAGTAGCTGACGGTGTTACGTGTTTTCTTCCAGACAAAGTATGTTTGAAAGTTTTTTATATGGGAGAAAATAAGCACCACCGTTGTCAAAAAAAAATAAAAATCATAAACGACCGCGGATTCTTAGGTGCTTGAAATTTCCATCATATTATACTAAAATTGTTTGGGCTACAATACTGCATATCCGAAACTTTTCTAGAAATTCTGATTAAGAAGTTGAAATGTTTGATGACCATTTTTGAAAATTTGGCGAATTAAAAAAAATGAGTATCGTGCGTCAATCGGGGGGCCTAGTTAATGCTTCAGACATAAGATGTACTTTTTTTGGTGTTTAAAGTTATTCCCTTATCCCTTGTTGGAGGAATTACTTGACTAGCAGAAGAGCTTAAATATTGGAAACTCAAGTTTTTTTGTTTTGTTGGTGCTTTTCAAAGTGTAGGAATATGTGGTATTTTGGAACGAATCTCGGCCTAATCTGGTATATAGACAAAACAGAAAACCTGTAGCCGGATTCCAACATTCGCGATCGCTAATTTTGATCGCCGAAAATTCCAAAAAATATATGGCAGGCGCGTAGGATTCCAGAAATTGCTACGCTAAACTTCTATCTCTAAAGATCACTCAATAACATATGGTTCCAAAAATATGCAATGCGAAAGCCGAAGGGTTTTTTTTATAAAATCGTAAGCAATAATGTACCTTGTGGTTAGCTGATTAAGTCAAGTGACATTTTGACTAGTTTTGGCTGTTTTTCTTTTGTTTATTTAATGTTTATATTTTTTTTATAAAAGTCTAGCACTCTACCTAACTAGCCCCACATAAATCCACATTTCAAACATCATCATTATGGAAATTCGACAAACTTTAACATTTACGCCAGAAAATTTTAAACTTTTTATTCAGATTTTTTTTTAATCTTGGGTATGCAGTTTTGTAGCTCATTAGTAGGTTAAAGTGTAAATTTCAAGACGCTAGAAAATCGCGTTGATTTTTAATCATTTTTTTTTGCCGACGGTGTTGTGCATTTTCTTCCATGTAAAGTATGCTCGACAATTTCGTTTGTATGGGAGAAAATGCCTAGCACCATCAGCAAAAAAAATAAAAAATATTAAAAATCAACACAATTTCTAGCATCTTGAAATCTGCGCTTTAACCTACTAAAATTTCATGAGCTATAAAAATTTTCTAAAAATTCTAAATAAAAAGTTTACAATTTTCGGGTGCAAGTGTTAAAGTTTGTTGAATTTTGATAATTTTTGTACGCAGTTTCAAGCGTGGATTTATGTGGCGCTTGTTAGGTAAAGTGCTAAAATTTTATAAAAGAAATATAAGCAATAAATAAACGAAAGAAAAATAGCCAAAACTAGTCAAAATCTCACTTGACTTAATCAGCTGACCACAAGTGTATGTACATATAAATATGTTGTTTCTCTGAAGGCTTTGCATATTTTACGCACTTCTAGATTTCCGCTGCATATTTGGTTGATTACACATTGCATATCGACTGCTGAGTGGAAGATCGACCTACCTCGACAGCCAGTTCCAAAAGGCCCTATCTCAAAAAAACTTTTCAAAAACGTCCTATTTCAGAATTTGGTTGAAGAACGCCCTATTTCAGAATTCGTTTCAAAAACGCCCTATCTCACCTGAATATGTATTGAAATTGTGCTGAGATAGGTCGATCTTCCACTAAGCAGTCGATATGTTAGTTTTTCATGTTGTAATCCAATAACGTACATATGTCCGTTTTCATAATATCCAAATATTTATCTAATTTTAGAATTTCCAAAAAAGTAACGGTGGCCTTGCTGCCATGGTGGGCCTTTAAGTTAAAGCTGTCTCTGTCTCGGGTGGGGGTTCTGCACGGGCAGCGCCGTAGGGAAACTGAATCTGGCTAACAACAAAGCTTCGAGCAGCGAAGAGTCGTCGGAGTCGATATACAAAGATTAAGGGCACGAGGTAAAAAAAAAGTCGCGGATAATGCCTGTACAATGATATTAGCCGAATTCGTAATTACATAAATTCTGTTCATCGAGCAAAAAATTTGTACGAATTCGTCCGAATTATCATGATTTTAGTTCAAATTGCGTTCGTGCAGACCAAAAAATTATCCATTACTCAAAATTTGAGTGATCGTTCTCTGGAGAGAAATTTTCAAATTCTTGCTGGAAAATTTTTAACCAGCAAGAATTCGCAATCGCGAAAAACACGTGATTGTGGCACATGGTTGTATTTTTGTCAACGATAATTTGAATAAAAAAGATCGTTATATTTAAAAATGTATAAGCATGAGCGATTTTCTAATGAAAACAGGAAGTAAATACTTGTTTACTTAATCAATTTAATTAATTCCAACGATTTGAAAAATACTCGGCTGAAAAAAGGTATTCTTTACCGTAATGCATTCACAATTAATGGGACAAACAAATGTAAGCGTATGGTAATGAAAGTCAAAATAAAAAGAAATATACATGTAGATCCTGTTTTTGTCCATCTGAAAGAATTTTTAATTTTTTATAAAAATGTATCATAGTGCAATATCGTACGCGTCAGAAATAGTCAGATTTTACAAAAAATCGATCCCGTACTCGGTTCTCTGACTATATTGAGAGCATGATAAAAACATTACAAGGTAAATTCATTCTCTCAATTCGTCGGCCATGATTTTTTTCTGTCGTTTGCAAGCATTTTTAAATCATATAAAATTGAAAAAAATTGTTCACAATAGTTGTTGTTTGAGATTGAAAATGAGAATACTTGCGTTTGTTTACTCATTTCCAGTAAAATCCAGTAAAAGTTTTTACGAATTTTCATGTTTTGGCGTTTTCGCACACAAAAACTTGCAAAGTAGGGGAAATTGAGAGAGAGAAAAATTACAGTTGAAGTTGCAAGTTTTTACTGGATTTTACGGATTTTACTGGATAAATTTTTACTTGTAAGAATTTGCCAGTACGAAAAACAGCTAATCGCATGTTGCTGGATGAAATTTAAACTAATAAATAAGCTGTTTGTGGGTTTTTATTGTGGAAATTCACAAAATAAACATATTTAACTATAAAATATATTATTTTATTAGGGATATGCTGCGAATAAACAACCAATTTATCAGCTGTTCATGAAACTTGCAAACTATTACTGGAATAACGTTCGCGTACTTTTTTGTAAATTTTTTCTATGAGAGCGAATTCTTAAAAATAAAGTCGCTGGAGAGTTGCTGACAAGTTACTGGATAAATTGTAAGCAAACACAACTAATATGTGTGTGAGTTTGAGTTTTGAATTTTTAAATTATATTGCTGGCAAACCTCAGACTGCCTCTCAATGGTTTTACCTTGCTATGTTTTTATCATGATTGAGAGGACAAAAAAGAGCATAAATAAGGTCCTCTCTCTGTCGGAAGTTACCAGTTTTAGTCCGAAGATTTTTTGGTTAAGTGGATTCTAATGAATTTGGGAGTATTTTTGGTTATTTACTTGTGTGAGCTGATTTACATACAAAAAGAGAAAAACTTTACAACCAAAATTTGAAGGTTAGGTTGAAGTGGACAGAGGTTACCATTTTTTACTAGAAAGCTATCCCGTACTTTTCAGTTTTACTCTCTCGCTCTGAGCGAATTTTTATTTTTTGACAGTTTTACTAATTTTAGTCCGAGGAATACGGGATTAGACCTCATATTTGAAATGCAAGCATGACACCAACTGGCAGAGAAACTTGCAAATTTGCGTTCGTTCAGAAATTTGCAAGTTTCGCTACTTGAGAGGGAATTCGAAGAGATTTTGTCTTACTCTCTGATATTTTGAGTGTGAATAATTCTTGCTGGATTTTCGACGAACAAATCTCGAGACGTTTTATCTATTAAGTATTGGATGCCGTTCAGATCGTGGTATCACAACGGACAATCTCCTAATTGTATCAGTGAGTCCCTGACCCATCGGGCTGCCACCTAACCTAAGAACGATTTTGGTAGAAAAGCGGATTAGCATTTCTTTCCAACTTCTCATGGTAAAGGAGCATGTGTTGGGGTGCGAGGGACGTTAAAGAGATCAGCGGCCAGAGCAAGCCTTCAGCGGATACGTCATTCGATCCAAACACCAAAACAATTATTACTATTTTATTTATTTCATAGTCAAAAATTAAATTAAGATAACCAATTTTTTTTGATGCAATGCATTGTTAACAATAACATGTGGCAATATTCCTGTAGACTAAAATTTAATAAAAGGAAAATAAGTGGATGAAGTGTGCGGCAAAAACGTATGTACAGAAAACTACCGAAAATTGTTTGCCAAACGGATACGTTTTCGGTTGTTTTTTCTGAAATTTCTCTGATTGAATTTTTCGTTCAATACGCTTTCCTTCTGCACTTCACAGATACCTTTTCATAGTTCAAAA